TGTGTGCACTTGCTGGTTGCTGGTTGCTTTGTATATTCTAGCTCTTGAGGGGTGGTTTGTGGATCAACACCATGAGGTTCTGAGCCTTTAGCTTGGAGGGGATAATTTTCCACTAATGTCAGGAGCAGCCCATTTGTTATTGTTAAATATTTTTTCATAGCTGCCAGATCCAGATTTATAGAGAGCAGCCAGTCCTGAGGATAGCAGTCATTGTTTTCCGTCTGGGAGCCCATAGATGAAGTCTGGGGTTTCTGGGAGTTTCGGGTTTCTTCCTGTAACTCTGAAGATAATATCTCAGCCAAGACTATTTCATGGGCCAGGCTCATTGTATTTCTATTTTGGTTGTTATTCTCCGTGTCCTGTATTCCTCTAGAGAAGGTTGAGTGATCTTGAGCAGCAGAGGGAAAAAGAAGAGCCTCATCCTGCTTCAACTCAGCCATCTCAGCCATCTTTTGCTCATTTCCATTTCCATTTCCATTCTCATTGTCCCTTGTGTGTAAAAAGTATTGCGTGATTTTACTCTGTTTCTCATGACACTCCTGGAACAATGGACTTGCCACTATCCCCAGGTCCCTACGTTTCTTTCTAGTAAGTACCATTTGTAAATCTTTGTCCACCCAGCTATGGGCTAAGGTCCAAAATGAGGCAAGATTTGGGATAGCTGTTTGTAATTTGTAATTTGATAGTTTATAGTTCAGAGCGTAACACGGAGTTGGCAGTAAATCAGTTGTCACCCGTTTTCCTTATTGTCGGTCAGACTTGAAGGGCGCGGCATCGCGGGGAGCAAAACCCTCCGGACATCAAGATAACAAGGTAACAAGGTAGCAAAGGAGCTCTTTTTTTTAGAAGCAACAAGCTAAAAGGACTATTAAACTACTTTAAAAAAAAACTCTGGAGGAGTTAAAATATATTATAAAGGGAGTTTCAGAGGTTGGCTCGGTGTCGAGCCTATTTAAAAAGCAGATTTAGAACTTGCCTCAGATAACCTCCAGAACTCTGCAGCTAGTTCGGCGGCCATCTTGCACAGATAGGTTGGCAGGAGCAGGGACCGAGCAACGGGAGCTCACCCCGTTGCGGGGATTCGAACCGCCGACCTTCTGATCGGCAAGTCCTAGGCTCTGTGGTTTAACCCACAGTGCCACCCGCGTCCCCCAGCTAGCATAGCCAATGGTAAAGGATGATGGGAGTTGTAGTCCAGCAACATCAGGGGGAGGAAAGGTCTTCCCACCCTCAGTTTTAAGCAATGAAAATTTTAGTTTAAATTCCTCTTTTTTTATCCACAGGAGGATGAAAAATAATAACTATCGCTTGCTTTGTGTATAGTACAGTAACAATTTCTGACTATAATCCGGAGAAAGCCTGGCTGTGAAATCGATTGAACTGATAAAGCAACTGGGAGCTAAGCTGTTATATGTACGTGCAATATCACTTGCTGTACCCTGAACATTTTATTTTTCAGAATGTCTAACAGGCTTCATGGAACATTGTGCAAAGCGAATTAAGTGGTTTATTGAATGTTCTCTCATAAAGGCATAACCTGCATAAGGCAATGGAAACTGAGACCTCCACAGCAAATAGCTAAAGCAGGAGCAGTAAACTGCACAGGGCCCAAAGGGCCACATCACATTGTGGTCAACCCTCCACCACGCACTTGTCAATCACCTGAGATCAGGTGGATCCGACTCCAGCCAAAAGCTGTGCAGCTTGCATTCAACATCAAAGGTAAACAGCGGTGAATGCAAAGTGTGCTCGCAAAGGGAAAACTGGGAGCAGACTCTAAGGTCGTTCGTTTACAGCCACAGCTTTTGCCTGTCCCACATCTGACATCACATGTGATGTCAGTTGAGTGACAGAAGGGCATGGTCCGTGAAAAGCAGCCTCACACACTTTGAAATAAGGAGTGTGGTTTTCTCCTCTCACCACCTTCAGACAAACTCTCACGAAGTCTGTACACACAAGAGACACACACACCCGCAAAAGGAAGCCAGTGTCCCTTGCACAACTTTGTCTGACAGTGTTGTAATCTTTAGGAAAGATCATCACCCGCACACTAAGGCAGCTTTTTACAATCAAGTTGTATATAGCAACCAAAGTGCTATTGATACACAGCAACTCCACTTCATATCAAATAGTTGTATTGCTGAATAATGCAAGCCTTTGGGTTCTTTCCTTATTAACTTTTTAATTCCTTTTCAGATTACTGAATTGTATGAAAATTTTTGGGACAATGCAGTGATATTTAAGATACCAAATCCCTTCCAAAAAAAAAAAAGTCGTAAGAAAGAAATTCTGGGTGTAGTCAATTGAGTTTTACTCAGAGTAGACCCACTGAAAATATGTGTTTTCCCTGGAGCTTTCCCCGCAAAAACCTGATCTTTAGTGCTCAACAGGAGCAAACCTCAATTCGGGCTTTCTGTGGATTGCTGTTTGCTCCAATTCAGCTTTAAAGAATGGTTTCTATCTAATCTAATCTATCTATCTATCACAGGGGAAATTCTGGAGCAAAAGAAAGAACACTCAGATATGGAGCTTTAAAGCACAGACCATGCCTAACAAGAGCAGAGGAAAGTGTGGATAAGCCCTAAGTCAGGTCCATTAATTACAAAGGGTTTACTGTAGTAAAACTTCATTGACTACCACCCCCTTTTTATATCGAAACGAGTCTTTGTTGTTTTTGCAATTTGAGGATGGATAGCTCTAATACTGAAAGAATTGCTATAGCTAAGGCTTTGTTTTCCTTTTTTTGAAGGTTTAATTTAAGAAGAAAAACAACCCTGACAAACTTCTGCTTTTAAAGCTCCTGACTTTTACATCATCCTTCCAAGGCATCACCCGTACTCATCATACAGTCGTCTGCTTCCAGTGTCCTAGCTGTGGACTATCGCTAATGCGATCACGTAGCTCTGCCAAAGGAGAAGTTATTGGCAGACCGCATGGAAAGACTAAGTTAAGCTCAGTTTTCCAAACCCCTCTTGACAAACGTCCTTCCCACCAGCATTTCTTAGAAGAGCAGAAGGGTTGCAGGAGACAGGTGATCTCGCTGGACTCTCAGAGCATGACTATGAGAAATACAGACTTTCTGAGTAGGTTTGAATGTAGGAACATAGGAGGACAATTCCACAGTAGCACAGCTGGTTACCCATTGATTACTAATGTGATTATGATTGTAGCTGAACACGGCTGTGCAGACAGTGTTAAGAACAAATGAAGATCCCTTAGCCAGCATCCTGTTCTCAAAGCAGCCACCCAAATGTGTGCGGGAAACCCACAAAGCAGCAGCTAAGTGCAACAGCAGCACCCCTTCCTGTGGTTTCCAGAAACTAGCATTCAGAAGCATATTCATTCTAAAGCACCAGATTACTGCTGCTATTGGGTGTACAGAATACACAGGATTGCCCATACCTCCTTGATGACCCTGTGCATGCTGGGCACACTTCCAGGCAATACATAACCAACAGTGGAGACTGGTGCTCTGCCCCACTAACCTCAGCCTGCCCTCAGTCAGCCTCAACCCAGCTGCTTCCTTGCTTACAGCCAGTCCTGGAGGGGCGGCCCTACCTGCCAGTGTCCTCTTCCTTAGTCTCTGTCGCTCTTGCAAAACACCAGGAGTATGAAGACAGAACTAGAATGAGTTGGCTCTGCCTGTTATTGGCTGCAGCACCTTTGATCTCTCTGCCACCAACCCTACCAGTACCAATGGGCACCAGCCGCCATGAATAGTCAGCTTTTATCTGAATGGGGATGCCTTACTTGTGCATGGAGTTTCCAGCAGACTTCTCTGTGACAGACTAGTTGAATATGGGCAAAGTTCCCCCACAAATAGGGAAACATTCAAACCATGCAATCCCACCACCATCACCCATACTATGACATGATACAATCCAGGAATCACTTTTTCCACCTCTCCTGCTGTTTACTTGCAATTGATTTTTGATTATCTCTGCCTTCAGCTGATCGTATTTTGTTGATAATTTTCTCTGTTAGGGCCAATTCTCTATCAAGCCGGTTTGATGCCTCTTCCAAGCCTTTTAAAACTGGGCTATAACATGTCTAACTGCTAACAATAAATAATACCTTCATTCTGACAAGTTTTCAGCTGTTAACAATAAATAACTAATAGTAAATATCTTCATTCTGACCTTGAAGCACATTCAATAAAGATAACTCAGGGGTCTGAATGACGTGTTGAAAAGCAGTACAGTGGTACCTCGGGTTAAGTACTTAATTCGTTGCAGAGGTCCATTCTTAACCTGAAACTGTTCTTAACCTGAAGCACCACTTTAGCTAATGGGGCCTCCCGCTGCTGCCGCACGATTTCTGTTCTCATCCTAAAGCAAAGTTCTTAACCCGAGGTATTATTTCTGGGTTAGCGGAGTCTGTAACCTGAAGCAGATGTAACCTGAAGCGTATGTAACTCGAGGTACCACTGTATTACGTATTTCTAGAAAAAACCATCTCCCCCAAACCTGACACCTTAATGCAATACCACCACAAAACGTGGTATGACTTTCCCCCTGAGTCTCACATCTTCACTAACAGAGCAGGTGACAGGAAGGGTTAATACATGCAAGATAAAACGGGTTCGATGTGCTCGTCACACAATATTTTCAGAGAGAGTACCTTTGTAGACATCCAGCTCCTTCCTTCCTAAAACCAGACAGCCAGGATGAAGAGGCAGAAGCTGCAGCCATCAGAAATGGCCACGTTTTCCCCTGCTTTCCGTTAGCAAAGAGTCATTTGCTAAACCTGCTGTTGAGAGTAAAGCCATTCTGGCTCTCTGTGCTGAGAGATCCTTCCTTACTCTGGAACTGAGTGCACCCACCCACCCGTTCAAGTGTTTTGTACCCTCCACCGGAGGGGGAAGCAGTTATGTAGGAAAAGAACCTCAGATTATGAGAATCTCATATTTAACACAAGATCAACCTCCACGCTCTTCCTGCCATGCTCAGTGCGCCGAACCGCCAAGGCCGAGTGAGCCACAAACATCTGGAGCTACTTACTTTGCTCTTCTTACTGCTGACCATTTTATTCTTGAGGTAGCTGAACGTGCGGCTGACTTTCGTTCCACTTTTGCTGTCCAAGTCCTTTCTGGATGGGCTGGGAGGCAGGAAATTGCCGCTCTCCTCGCAGATGCTGGAAGCCAAGAGACACAACATTGTCAGGGAGCGCACAGAACCCCCTTCACTTTCCCACTTCAGACAGCAGAAACTGACTTTGTTTTGTTTTACTGTTCTATGTTATCAAGAATTCCAGCCCATTCATGTCTTTAGATCGCTCATCTTTTTTGTGATAAATCCAGCATTAAGTTAATGACAACTGCAGCTGCCAACTCTTCTTTACTGACCCTGCGCCAGCCCCGTGCCTGGGGGGGAAATATTTTTTTTTTCTTTATCCCCCCCCCCAAAAAAAAACTAGGTGCGTCCTATGGGGCGAAAAATACAGTATTTTGATAGGCAGAAATTAAGCAGGTGAAGCTTTATCTGTGGCTTCATCTCTGCTCAAGGAAAAGCTTCACATGTGTGCGTGTGTTTTTTTAAAAAAGAAACAATTGCTCTCAGATTTTCTACAGTCAAGCAGTATATAAATTGCATGAAATAAAGTAAATACATTTTAAAACGATAAAAAGGTAAGGTCCGGGGGGGGGGGGGGGATCTGGCAACTCTAATGAAAGCTGTGTTGCATATTGCAAATGGGCCCAGCACCTTCTTAACTCAAACAAGGCCTGTTGTGCCTTCAACAGGTGAGGCTTTTTTTACCCCGAAGCTTCTCTGGTTGCCATTTTCCCTTAAAGGCCAAAGGAGTCCTGCCAAGAACAGGCAACCAACCATCCTAAGTGCGAAGAATCATATGCAAGCTCCAAATACCCACAGTGCCCTCTGCTGTCTGAAAGTGCAAGTACAGCTTCCTGGAAGATGAGGAGGAAATAGAAAGCAGTTTGTGCTGTTTCCGGTAGGCATTTAGAGTGTATGATTGTGTATGATTTTCTCGCCTCCTTAGATTTCAGTAACATGTTTCATTTAGCCAATCAGCACACACAAAAATCAACAAACTGGGAAGGTGTCTTCCACTCTTCCCAATTAATCAGTAAAAGTAAAGGTAAAGGGACCCCTGACTATTAAGTCCAGTCGCGAACGACTCTGGGGTTGCAGCGCTCATCTCGCTTTACAGGCCGAGGGAGCTGGCGTTTGTCCGCTTCCGCAGACAGTTTTTCCGAGTCATGTGGCCAGCATGACTAAGCCGCTTCTGGCAAAGCCAGAGCAGCGCATGGAAACGCTGTTTACCTTCCCACCAGAGTGGTACCTATTTATCTACTTGCACTGGCATGCTTTCGAACTGCTAGGTTGGCAGGAGCTGGGACCGAACAACGGGAGCTCACCCCATCGTGGGGCCTTGAACCGCTGACCTTCCGATTGGCAAGTCCAAGCAGCGCAGTGGTTTAAACCACAGCGCCACCCGCATCCCAATTAATCAGTAGGCTAATCTAATTATTTAAAAATTATTTTAATACTTATAAAAATTATAACTTATAAAAATTGCAGATAGCTAGGGCCAGTGTTATTTTTCTTAAAAAAATGTTTAGGGGTACTCTCCTTTTCCTACTCATATTGAAATACTGCCCCTCCATGAGGCCAAACTTAGATTCAACAAAATGTTTAGGAGCATACGTACCCCCGCATGCCCCCAGAAAAAAAGCACTGGCTAGGGCCATTTTTGACGCACCCCACCCCATCCCTATGGGTAAGAGAAGGAGTAAAACCTCTTTTTAAAGCTTATATCTGCTTTTACAGGCATACATCGTCTAAAATAAGTAACTGAAAGACAAGAATGATTTATCCCCTTTAGAACTATTGTCCATTCCTATCATATGCAAAGCCACGGAGTTTTAGTCACTTAACTAATGAATTGACTAAAACTCGCAGAGTTAAATCAGCATGATTTCTCTTGATTGGGTGACAGCCCTGATTTTTCTATTTCAAGGAAATGAAGAGAGTTTTAAGAGTTCGGAAAACAAAACAAAGCCCTGCCTTCAATTTTAGGGGGGAAATCAAAAGCTCACCTTTGAGTCAATGAACTGCCGGTACTGCTGAAAGATCTGTTACCTGAGCAAAGACAAGGAGAAAAGGTTTTTAATTAACAATAATTGCACCTGGGATTAACCTTGATGGCTATGACACATTCTAACGCAAAATCCCGGTGGAAAATTGGTCCATTGGGTCCACTAAAGGTTTATTAACCATGCTTATAAAAGTAGTAATTCTGAATGGGTTTTTCCCGTTCTTTCTTTACAAAGTCCTGAATAATGAAGACAAGAGGGGCTTGCTTGTTTACTTGTTTCCAGATGTTAACACAACTGTCTCCAGAGCATCCCAGAACTGGTTACTACTGGCATTTCAGGACCTATGATTTACAAAATAACCAACACAAAAGTTGCACAGAATCCCAAGCAGATTCCTGCATAGCTGGAGAAAAGCGACTCAAACATGACTGTGCAAGCATCACAGGCTCTTATTGGATAGCAGATATGACATCACTGGTGATAACTGGGAAGTAGCCTGCAACCCAAAACTGACAGCTCTCAAGAAAAAGTACAGAGAAGCCCCTTGTTTAGTTTCACCTCCAGGCAGCAAACTGGGTGGATATCAGGCTGTGACCTTTGCAAGACTATCTTGCAAAAGCGGAGACGCAAGCGGAGCGTGCTTTGAGCTAATTGTCAAGATGACTGCATGGCAAGAAGCTCAGTATTTGAAATTCCTGTAGTCTTTAGAGGCTCCACCCCCCACTAACAGTTTAAAACTGCACAGAGCTCCAGACTGTGGTTGACCAAGTGCTAAAGGCAAGTGATTATAAACACTGCTTTGAGTTCTATCCGCCTCCCTCTGCAAATTAAGAAAGTGATCATCACCTGTTTTGATTATCTGGACTGCATCTACGGAGGCCCATGCCAGTTAAAGTCTCAACTTCTCAAAACATAAAGGTTTTGGAATAACTTTAACTAGGAGAACTGCCCAGGACCTCCATTTCCCATCCGTAACCTGGGCAAACCAGGGATCTCTATGTCATGTGCACCAGAAGCATTATCAAGAAATTTCTCAAGTAAATAATTCAAATGAATTACACTTCTTAAGAAATTATGACCGCTTTCCCCCCACCTGACGGAGAAGATTATAGGGGGGTTTTCTTTTGCTTCTTTTATTGTGTTTATTTCTTACTTGAAAGTAAAAAATGTGCAGCGATTGTGTTGTGTGTTTTTTTTTGTTTTTTTTTAAAGTTGCTCTTCTTTTCCAAAGAAAAGCTGGATATCTGGTAAGGAAGCCTCTATTCTACAGTGCTGCCCCGCAAGACGAATGCCTTGCAAGACGAAAAACTCGCAAGACGAAAGAGTTTTCCGTTTTTTGAGTCGTTCCGCAAGACGAATTTCCCTATGGGCTTGCTTCGCAAGACGAAACGTCTTGTGAGTTCTTGCGAGTTTGTTTCCTTTTTCTTAAAGCCACTAAGCCGCTAATAGCTGCTAAGCCGCTAATAGCCGTGCTTCGCAAGACGAAAAAACCGCAAGACGAAGAGACTCACGGAACGGATTAATTTCGTCTTGTGAGGCACCGCTGTACTTAAGTAGTAGCTGCAGAGTAGCACCTCCCCTTATGCATGTCTGAGTGACGAAGGACAAAACCCCTAACATGCCATACAATTATGCTGAAAATGTAAAATGATTTGAGGGCACACTAGAACATATGGATGAGCGGAGAGGGGAGCTGGAGACAGCTCTGGCCTGTGGGCATTATTGTGCCTGTTAGTCTCCCCATTTGGCCCACAGTGTGGTTTGGCTCAAACCAAGCCGATCTCTCTATCACATGACATTATATGATGCCATGTGATACCAGCCACAGGGCAGGTAAAGTCAGGGCACCAAATTCAAAAGGAAGAATTTGGAGGGCACTCTCAGTTCTTTTCCTTTCCAGCCACTGGTAGAATTTGGTGCTCTTTTCTGTTGGCCGAAAAAGACATGCATTTTTTTTTAAGCACTCAATTGATGCTGGAAACAAAAGAATCAGAAGTGCCTTAAAACGGGCTCCTGGTTCTTTGCAGCCATGGATTTAAAGATGAATCCCCTGACACTGTATGGCATCAGGTAAATGGCCAGGTGGGTGGACCCAACCACCTGTCAAAGTAGCCCACGGCGAGCGGATCCAGCCCTCCAGCCAGTTTCAGTTCCTCACCCCTGCTATATATCAAAATGTACAATTCTCAAGCAAACACACACGGCTTAAAAACATACATATATCCGTGACTCTTACTGTGAAGCTTTCGGCATGCAAGAGTGTGACGTGGCAAAACTACAATGGTGGCGTTGAACCATTCCCCAAAGCAAACACCTTCCCCTTCTTCGCCAAGGAACAACCCACAGTGAAACAGCAAAACAGATTTTCAAAAAGCTTGAGCGCCGTGGCATCTACAGGAGACAGCACAAAAGCAGTCTTGGGAGTACCAACGTTTGTAAGCAGTTGCGAAGGGAAAAGGCATCCCTTTGATGATGCAGCATGTGAAGTTCAGAAGCACAAAGAAAGGGATGAGGCAACTTTAGCAAGCAGCACTTGCATTAAAGAAAAGCCAGAAAAGCCAGGTAAAATGTAAGCGCTTCCCTGCCTAGCGCCACCCCAAAGCCAGCTTCATTCTGCCCAGGCAGATTACTTACTATCCAACTCCTCATCCTCATCACTGGAAGAAGAGCCAATAGAAAAGACAGTTTTAGACTTAGGAATGAGTGGAGAGATGCTGAAGGAGAAGGAAATTCGTCTGGATGGCCGAGTCCGTCCCTGGGCTGAGAAGTGGGTTAACAGCAGACGTTAAAGCATGCATTTCAACAACAACAAACAATAGTAGATAAGGGAGAGGGGGAATGGCAACAGAAGCAGCCAAGAGCAAGCCAAAGAGGGAAAGCAAAACCAGTGCAGAGCAGAAGGCTTTCTTTTAAGGAGAGAGAGAGAGAGAGAGAGAGAGAGAGAGAGAGAGAGAGAGAAATAATGCAGGTTGCATTCAATCTGTAAACTGTAGGCTTGAGGCTTTTTATTTACTGGCAACCTTTCCCACAACAATTCTTCAAAGGAAAAGGTTCAATAGCAATGCTACAAGAAGCAGGCATCTCTTTAGTGACCCCTGGACGGCCAGCCCTCATTCGCGTGAGGATCTAATTGAGCATGGTGCAACACGGCTATTCAGATCCGCAGACACTTTCTTCTTCAGCTCTGAGCACAAATCCTCTCCAGCATAATAGCTTGGGGAAAAGAGGACCCCACCCCATGACATTAAGACCCCTCCCCTCAAGCAACTTGGCCTAGGAGGGTATAGCAGGTTTAAGACATGGCTTACAGCATACCATGCCATGATGAGCCAACACGGCTAATGTTTACAATCTACAGAGACTGCAAGTCATCCCTCTGCGATCTACATCAGGACTTGGTGTTGTATTCCTTAAATCAGTTATATCCCAAACCTCTAAGCACTTAGGGTACATTTTTGGATGAATTAAAATTGAAGGTGCAGCCGCATTTCGCCCATTAGGTTTGCTTTTGGAGTGTGGACGAGAAAGAATCAGACAAGCACCCACCTGCCCACCCCCATTCCTGCATGAATCATTAGTCTGGATATACCTCCTGGTTAGAAGGAGGCATGCTCAGAGCAGTGACTCTTGCAGGGATGCAGCAGGGAAGCTCCTCTAAGGGTAGGTAGTTTCAGAGACTTCTCTACATCAAGAATGATTGGATGATCCCAAACATATCTGGTGTAGAGAGAGGGCCAAAGTTACCCTTGGTCCAGTTCACAGGAAGGAGAGCAGAGCAGAGCAGTAATGTGAGCTGAGTCACAATGGGCAACCCCCTTTGCATGTTGGTGGGGACTTTGGGGTCACAAAAGAAACTATTAAGTTTGTTGATGGAAGGACCATAGCTAAGGAGTACAGTATGGCCTCTGTATGCAGAAGGGCCTTCAATAAGTTAAAATGAGCATTGTTCTATGTGGAACAATGTTTGTAGATGGAAGAGGGTTGAATCACTGAGTCCTTCACCTGCAAGCTAAAGTATGACTTGCTAAGATGCAGAGGGAAAGGACTACAGTCCAGCTACAGAGCATTTGCTCTGCACACAGAAGTTCACAGGCTCGATCTCAGTCAGCTCCAATCAAAAGGCTCAGGCTATGGGATAGATATTCCTCTGTCTGAAATGTCAGAGTTGCTGCCAGTCAGTGTATACTGAGCCCCCTATCTACCGCGCTCCGTCCTACTTAACATCGCTTATGGCTGCGTCTCACCGTTATGCCTTCATTAGAGCTAGGTTCAATGTTTTTCCAACAAACGTGCTGAGACATAGATTCACTAAGGGCCAAGTCCCTTCAATGTGTGCTTGTGAAATGAAAACATCTGAATCTCTACATCATGTTATGTTTATCTGCCCTTTGTACAGTTCAGCCCGTGCTAGTATTCTAAACCCCATAATCCAGCCTATGGCTGACAAACCAGTAGACCTAAAGCTTGCCTGGGTACTTCAAGATGTGGATCCTTATATTACCCTACAGGTTGCTAAATTCCTAACAGCCGTCCTCTCGTACAAGAGACGGAACGGAATGTTAGCTGATTATTGATAGTCACAAGAATTTTCTATAATGACATCAGATATTGTTTTTAGTGTAGTGCCAAATTTTTTTAATCTTAATCTTAAACTTTTTTATGAATGGCTAATATCCGTCCTTGTGAGTTGTGAACTGTGTTATACTACTTGTGGTTTGTATGAGTCCGCTGTTTTATTTGATTTGTTTTGTTGTGTTGTGCTTCATGATGGGCGTAAAGCCGAATAAACATTTGTTGTTGTTGTTGTATACTGAGCTAGATGAATACACAGGCTGCCCTGAGAAGTTTCCAAGTTGTTGTCTCTCATAGCACATTAATGGGCCCACCCCACAGAGTTTGGAAATTACTGATTTAAAATAAGACAAACAACTAAACAGAATTTAGAGGGTACAATACAAGGCAGCATCACCACAAGTAGCAGCAGAAAGCCACCACATGGAGCAGAACTATCTCCTAAAAGGAACAGCTCTCTACTGCAGAAGGCTCCAAGTGCAACCTTACCTTGCAGAAACCTTCTTACAAGATCCATGTAATTCTTTAGGGTTCCTCCTGCCCATTAACCCCACAAAGCAATAAGGGTAAAGATAAGGGTAGTTAACTCTCACTGCAATCAAAAAAAATATTTTGGAGAGTCCTGGCTCTACAATACTAAAGATATTCTGCATGGAAATACATCCAATTTCTTTCAGGGAAGCTTCTACATAATGAACAAAATCCAGTCCAAATTGATTATACCCATAATCCCAATCAATTCATCTATGGAGATTTTAAAGACATGTTTGACTTTTCCACTGAAGTTAATGGGGGTTACTGTGCATGTAACCCTAAACCTTGGTTTAGCATTACATGCACAAGCCAGAATGAGCCTGAGCAAAGCCAAATGTCCATCTTCCCTCTCCCATACAGCCAGGAAGAAGGGCTTTGCTAAAGTTTAATTTATGGTTTCAAAGAATCCAGGGTTGATATGTTGGATCATGCTTTGAAATAAACTCTGGTCAGTTTCTTTAAAAAAACAAACCCAAATCCAACTCATATGAGCTGGCTTATTCAACTAATCAGAGTCTGTTTCAAACCACAATCGCTGGTATGTATGTAACAAACCTGGATTCACTGAAACTAACTGCTAGCAAAGTCATTCTCCCAGGATCACAGGAGAAGGGGATGGAAGGAAGAGCACTCAAACCCAAGACTTCACTCAGCAACTTGTTTGCATTCATTCGTGTAGGTTCAAACCATGGTTTGGCGTTACATGCAAATTCAGCCCAACGACACCTGAAAGACGCTTCATTTTGGCTGGACTGCACCTGATGTGTAAGCATAGCACACAGCTTTGAAGACTCTTGATGCTCTTTAGTAAAGTTAAAAGCCTCTGCACAAGCTCAAGGTTTTGGAAGCGGTACATTTGTTTAAACTTTAAATGAATTAGCAAGCACAGGAAAAGGAACAAAGTCAAGCTATTGTCCGATGGCTTAAATCCTCAGTACTGAGGTCCTACCCCTATAGAACCTCTCGGGGGGGGGGGGGGCGCTTTAACAACTTTTCTTCCCTTAGCTGACCCTTACAGTTGTTCACAAATGGCACTATTACTTCAAAAGGTAAATACGCACCCTACTGTATTAAGCTAACAAAAGGGTTCAGTAGCCTTCTTCATAGTATTCTGGCTATTCTTGGAATTCCCCTGAGAAATGCCACCTTTTCTATCGGGCCCCTCTTGTGGCTTTCTCAGATATTTCCCTGCAGGAGGAACCTCCAAATTCACTACAAAATCTCAATCCAAGCAAAACGTCTTTGGGAATTGTAGCTTACAGCAGGAAAGGCAAGCAAGACTCAAAACCGAAACAGGTTCGCTTCAATGAACTCCCCACCATCACCAGAATGCCCTTGGTCCTTCCTTCACTGGGGGGGGGGGGGCGGATTTCATTCTTTAAAAGCTTCCGGCTGCCTTTAACTACCTCTCACCCCCAGCATTTTCCCCACTGATTTTTTATATTTTTTATCCCCAAGTTAGGAGCAGCCTTCGGGACATTCTGGCAGAGGAGCTCTTCTAAAGCCTCCACTTCTACAAAATGCTGACGATGAAGAACAGCCAAGCATCTGCTTGCCAGCAGCCTTTTGGGGGGGGGGAGTGCAACAGCTCAAGGCTCAGTACGGGGCTGAGGTTTCCCTCTGGAATGCATCAAGCCAACAGATCCCACATTCTGAGAGAGAGACAAAGAGAGAGACTTAAGCCTACTTCACTTTCTCTCAACTTGTACCCAGGGAATGCAGGAACCCTCAGGCGAAAACGCCTCGTTAGTGCTAATTGAGATGATCTGAACTCAACCAAGGCCAGAACCAGACCTTTGGGCAGGCATTTGGCTGTCACTCAGGAGTGGTAGCGCCACTCCTCCTCCATCCCCACCCCAAAAATTGCTGGGACTACAGAGCATCCACTGCGCTGCATGTTTCTTTGCTGCAATTCACTGGCTCTCTGCAGGGGAAGACCTGCTGTGCAGTGATGGTATTTTTGGGGAGTGGGTAGGATGAGGGGAGAACAGTACAGTGGCAGAGCATGTTTTCTGCAGGCAAAAGGCCACTGCTTCAATCCCTGGTATCTCCAGCTATGTCTGGGAATGGCCCCTGCATGAAATCCTAGGCAATCCCTGCCAGTCACTGCAAACCAGAGATAGGAAGAAGGCAGGTCGGGATCTCCTGGTAGAGACTTGGGTGATCTGCAACAGAACACCAAGGATTTTCAAATCCCAATTGTTCAGGTGTGGGGAACCTTTGGTCCTCCTGCTGAGCTACAACTCCCACCAGCCCTAGCAAACATGGCCAATGTCCAGATGCAATGGGAGTTGTAGCTCAGTAACATCTGGAAGGGCAAAGGTTTCCCATGGCTGAATAATAGCAATAGCTCACCACCCTCCACTAATTAGGCAGCTGAAACAAAAATCGGTTTGGAGGCAACCCAAGAATGCATTTTTGCATTAAAGAGCTATGCGCTCAGTTGGGGGGGGAAAACAAATTCCTGGGCTAAGTTGCACTTAGAGGTGCCCTCTTCCTTAATTCTATACCTGCTCTTTTTTCTAAGCCACTATTTGGACTTGGATCCAGGCTGATGGTTCGACGAAAAAGCAAAGCAGATCGCTCAAGCCTGCAGTCTGCCCATTCCCTGCTGCAGACAAAATACTAAGCTAGATGAGCTAATGGTCTGACTCAATGAGAGGCAGCTTTCTAGAGTCCTACTGGATTTCCTTGAGGCAAAGGAACAGGGTGGCAGTTTCAACAGCAGTTACACTTGTGTACAACCATCTACTTCCCATCGGAGATGCAATGCTTGGTTGCTCACTGTGCACCCTCCAGATGGTCAACTGCAATGCTGACCCCCACATTTTTATGAGAGTTCTTTCCCCATACCTGCCAAGTCCCAGCTGGTAGCATATGCAAAAGGAGATTCTGCAGGGAGGGAGGGAGGGAGGGAGGGAGGAATGTGCACAACGAGCCACAGTTTGCCTCAGACTGATGCAATGCCACTCCTTCCAAGTTGGATGGAAAGTTTTCCTCTAATGGAACAGGCAGGGGGAATCATTCATTTGTCAGGCAAGCCTGTTTTCTGGGAAGAAATTTCCCCCCTCTTTTTATTTTTTGCTTTTAGTGTTTGGTTAGCAACTGAGGAAGAAAAAGATACCAAATGGTTATTTCCTGTTTCTTTTTCTTTATTTTTTAAATGACAGGCTTCGGGAGGGGGAGGAAAATTGGTGCAATAAGGCAAAGCAGATGAAGCGGTTATTTTAATGGATGGACAGCTTAGTGCTTTGGTTACTATTGCTAAGGGACAACAACCTCTAGTCAACATCTTTATTAGTCACAAGTCTTGAGAATGGTTTTTCTAAAAAGGCTTTCCTCCTTGTGAAGCAGCCTTAAGAAGCTCCCTAATCAAAAGGGTCTCTCTCCTGTAAGAGCACCCTCTTTGCTAAAATGCTTCAGGAGGGTGACACTTCTGCTTAAAAATAAAGGGTCAAACAAAAGCTGTTGCTGGCTGATATTGATGGGAGTGGCTGTCATCTGGGAAATACTTTTTTTAAGGAAATGGCAGAAGTCACCTATGAGTCAAAATCCAGATTTCTGAATGAAAATGAATATGGGGCAAATCCACTCAGATGCTCAGGGCTGGTCCAACACATTTTGCTGTCTGAGGCAAAGCAGCAAATTGTGCCCTCCTTGAATTCAAGGCACATAATTCCATTACTATTTTGGCACCTGAGACAGAAAATTTCACAAGTGCCTCTCCCTGGCAGTAAAAATAGAACAGAAACATATCGCATAACTAACCCTTGATCCATATCCCCCCCCGGGGTTTTGCAACCCTTTTATAATAAACCAAAATCAGCTACCTGAGGCAGCCGCCTCACTCAGCCTATTGTTAGGGCCGGCTGTGCAAATGCCGCAATCTCAAAACCAATACGGAATGGAACTCCTCCACCTAGCGCAAACACTATTATCAGCACACTGCAGAAAAGGTTCAGGCATGGGTACAAAGCATTATAGCAATGACTTCATTCTCACGCGAGAACAGCATTGCTGGATTAGGCCAAAGGCCCATCTATAGTCCAGGATCCTGTTTTCTTGCAGGGGCCACCCAGATGTTTGTGGGAAGCCTACAAGCAGGATGGGAGAGCGACAGCACGATCCCTGCTTACAATTCCTGGAAACTGGTATTTAGAGGCAATTCTGAACTAGATGGGCCAAAGGTGTGACTTAGCATCAGGCTGTTCCCTATCACCTAAGGCACCTTTCCCCATGGGAGTTGTGCTGGTCCATAAAAACAGAAATAAGTCCTGCTGGATCAGATTGAAGGCCCATTTAGTACAGCATCTTGTTCTCACAGTGGCCAACCAGATGCTTTAAGGAAATCTGCAAGCAAGCCATGAGTACCACAGTGCTCTTGCCACTCTATATTCCCAGTAATTCAGAGGCAGAACACAGTCACTGCACATGTGTCAAGGCTCATGAGATGCTCAGTGGATCTGTGCAAACCAGCACTTACTGACATAGCTCTGGCATCAACAAAACACCCTCAAGGCGCACAGTCATCTAACAGGTGTGTCATCACATATCCGCTGGAGAATGGAGCAGATGTAGAGATTACTTGTTCTCCACGCCTCTCAAAACTCCAGAGATACGTAAAATCACCAAGTGGGTATTTTTCAAAAGGGGGAGAATGTTAGTCACAGGGAGCATGTTTGTGCTTTTTGAGGACCACCGAAGAACCAGCTGCTTCTGACGTGAGCTAGCGCTGTTGGAAGTGGAAAGGTGCAGCAGTGCTGTGTTTCTGGAGGAATGAAGTCCATCCTTGTTCTCTGCAACCACCTCCACCCCAACTTTGTTTATCTGAAGATTGCCAGAAAAGATTGACAGCTCAGTGGGAGGCTGCATGCTTTGTATTCCTAGGTTCAATTCCAGGCAACTCCAGTTAAAAAGACTCTCTGGCAGCCAAGCTGGGGAAAGCCTCACCCTGTGTCTCCTTAGAGAATCACTGCTTATTGGAAGTGGGCAGTACTGGCCGTGATGGACCAAAGGCCTGACTCAGGATAAAGCAGCTCAGTGTGTTTGTGTTCTGCTCCAGTTATTTATATCCAAGCTGCCATGGCACAGGAAAAGGGGAAGGTGCTATTAGTACACTCAAGGTGCAGTCACCACCAAACCCTGTATGTAGCAAGAAAGACAAAGAGCCACGTGTACTCACTGTCTGGTCCAGCTTGGCCAATGGTCATCAATGACATGGACTTAGTCAGTGGGGGAGAAACAGGAGTTGCAGTGAAGCTGAAGGCACGGGGTTGAGATCTTTGGCGTATCTGCAAAAAAACAAGACAGCAAAGCTGAACTACAAAACCCCACTGCACAAAGGGGAAAAGGAAACCCGTTGCCAAGAGGTCCAATCCCTAGCATGATCCCATCTGAAGCCCTTGAGAGCTGCTTCCAGTCAGGGTCGACAATACTGAGCAAGACAGCTCACAGGAGCCCTGAGGAAATTCCCATTTGACTTCCAAAGCAGCAGACTCCAATCCCAAGCACGTGGTCTCTATTATTCACCTGAGTCAATTTCTCCTGTGCAAGCTGAGACCCACCAAGTAAAAGGTCGTTTAACTCTTTCCTCATCAGCATGAGCAAGCAAGAACATCTTCAGCAGAGCACCTGTGCATCTCATCTGACCAGTCTCCATTTGCTGACTGCCTTGTGCTGGCGAGTTAAGCAGCTGAGATCGATAATAAGCAGAGGACTATGTCCAAGTCTCTGTTAATGCTCACAACTGGGGAAGAAGCAGCTAAAGAGCCCTTTGCCTGGGTCTTTGCTTAGGCATGGGTGAAACCAATTTCACCTTTTAAAAATGAGAGGGTTGGTGCCCCCTGGAACTTGGGGACAGAAGAAACACTTGGCGAATCTAACGTCCACCAACATCGTGGAACCATTGTAGGACCACCTTACACACAGCTTCAGGCACTAAGTGTGCCACAAATGCTAAGCAGACGCAACACAGAAAGGTGAATGCAGAGTAAACAGCTCAAAGTGGCACAAGCAAGCCAGTCAAGACTAGCCACATGCTGTACAAGGGTCCCTCACCACCACCCCAGAAAATATCCCTAGGTGATCTGAAAGGAAGAAACTCCCAGATTCAATTCGCAGCATCTCCACATAGTGATGAGAAGCTCCTGTCTGAAATTCCAAAGAGCCACTGCCAGCCAGTGTGGGCAATGCTGAGTGAGCTATTTGGACCGGCAGTCTGATTCTGTGCAAGGCAGCTTCTTCCTGTGCTGTGAAATGGGCTTAAATGTGCAAGTCGGAAAAACTGCCCAGTTTTCATCTCCATAGCAGCCTTCCCTAACCTGGTAGCCCAAAACATGCGGGGTGTACAACTCCCACTATCCTTGGCTACTGGCCATACTGGCTGGGAGCTGTAGTTCATCTGGAGGGCAGCAGGTTGGGCAAGGCTGAAAGAAATATAATTCGCCCTCTTCTCTTAAGCTGTACAAAAGCAGGGTCCCAGAGTGGGAGGCAGGCAGACCAAATGAGGAACAACCTGCTACAGATCTATTCAAGGAAACTGGAGTTCCCTTCTGGCAGGAAATGGCCCCCTTATGTCCTCACTGCGACACGACAGTCATTCCTTTGACTCATGTCACTTCTGCCAATATCTGACTGGGCCACACTCAGACCATACATGGGAGCCGCTGAGAGTTGTTAGGAAACCCATATATTCCCCTCACAGAGGTACAGTTCCCAGAGTTCCCTGTGATTAACAACTCCTGTAGCTCTGGGAGGGGAATAGGAGTTTCCTAACAACTCTCAGGGCCCTTAACAAACTACAGTTCCCAGAAGCCTTTGGGGGGGGAGCCTTTACCGTTTAAAGTGGTAGCATAGTGCTTTACATATATATGGTGCAAATGTGGCCTGGATGGGCTACTCAGCTCATCGTAGATATCATACAGATGGTATTAAACTCTTAATGAGAGAGGGGGGAGAGGGGGAGAAGAACCTTGTTTACCTGGCGGTTAAGACTTCTAATTGCCCCTTGCTCTAGTTCCAGTTCCTCTTCGGTGAGTGAGACTAGCGAACCACGCTCGTCATTTGCCAGGGGGCTTTGCCGGAGATCTTTGGTGTTCAGAGTTGCTGTTTCGAGGCTGGAGGGTGGCTTCTTAGTACCATCACCCTCCCCAGCAAGGCCTTCTAAGCTGTAACTAAAGAGAGAGAAAACAGATCTCAAGCTTCTGCAGATTCTCGGTGGATCAACATACAAGCTCACTGCATATCTGAGAGGAAGCTTCCAATCAAAAATAGGTTTTGAAATCAGGGGTCACCAACTTTTTTGGAGCTAGTGGGCACATTTGGAATTTTGAGGAAGCGCTGTGGGCACCACTCATAAAATGGCTGCCATTGAGGCATGGCATAACACCAAACAACTGCCACATCTAAGTGAGCAGAAGAAGATAAAAGCAGGACCACAAAATGGTTCAACCATACTCCCCCCCACCCCCTAAACCAATATGGCGGGGATGGGGAGGCATATATATCAGCTCCTTGCAGACACCACTACATTGGCAACCCCTGGTTTAAATGATTTGGTTGCAAGCACACTCATATCTATCTCATCTCCTTGGTTAGTTAACGTGATCTACTGTTAGTGCAGTTAGCAGCGGAGACAACAACTGAATGGAATATACTGGAAAAGGGCTTCGTTGGCTAGCTCAAACCCTGAACAGGAGCACTTCACACTGCAATGACTTCCCCAAGGCGAAAGATGCTGAAAAGGATGACCAGTTTGAAAAGCTATTTTGCAATGGTATTTCGTTGATTTTATGACTATGCTATACACCTGCTTGTCAAACTTTTTGAGAATTTTTTTAGATGTGATTTCCTAGCAGCCACTGACAGCCTTATCCTCCTTGAATTTGTCTAGCCCTCTTTTTAAGTCATCCATGATGGTAGCCATCACTACATCTTGTGGCAGTGAATTCTGTATTTTTAAATATGCACTGTGTGAAATTTTTCCTTTTGTCACTCCTGAATAGTCCAACACTCAGATTCAATTGATGGCCCTGAGTTCCAGTACCAAACACACCAACATACCCCTTCTTCAAGTTTGCATGGAGGAGGGGCCACCACAAATTCTGGCTTGCCAAACTTTGAGCATGTGCTCAAAGGCTTCAAAAGGAAGCAAACCAGACAGAGACTGAACAATACTCAAGTCAGCAGACACACAGCGACACCACAAGGCTACAAACACCACACCAGAAGCCGGTAATTCGGGGTTTGCAAGCTCCCTCTACGGCTGCAGCACATTTATGTATACTCTACCTTCTGCCATTCAGATCAGCACCCATGGCGGTGCACTGGACATCAGAGGGACACCAGCTCAAACTGAGGACACCAAAAGGCAAAAGAGAGAGCAAGAAGGCAGCCATTACAGGGCGGTCAGAGAGGCAGGTGCTAACAAATCCTGCTATCCATTAAAAGGAAAACAGCTCTTTTAAACCAAAGCATCTGATGCTCATTTGTTAATGAGGGAGAGTAGTGGATTGGCAGGCATACCTCAGCTTTGCAGTAGTGATGTCAGCAAGAGCTGCTTTTCCCACTGTTAACTTTCCATGGAGCAGTTTGTGAATGGCTGGACATGTGTTCTGGGCCTCAGAGAAAGCTATGTCTATGTAATTAACTAAAACCTAGACTAGCTATTGGGTGAGCTGCTCTGATGTCACAGAAAACCCACAGACACTGCAGCTCCTAGGGAAGTTTCAGTCCACAGAATATTGACCAGGATTGGGGGGTGTTAGTGAGAGAAAGAGAACAGCCAGTTTGGCTGGGACAGCCCCAATGGAAAGGATGTGGCTGAGAGAAATAGGGGTAGGAGTGAGTTTAGGAGACAAGAGAGTTTAACAGATAAGGCACCCAGAAGACAGGGTAATTAAGAATCACGGAACCTTGGGAAAGAATGAATGGAGGAGGTGGAGTTCTGAATGGATGGATAATTCATGAAGGTGATTAATGGAACATTCACATGAGAGGGAGGGTTGAGGAAGAACATCACCCAGGATTAGGGATAGCAGGAACTGTGTTTTATTGGCACTGAACAGAATAGAAAGGCAGAAAAAAAATCTATGAAAACTATGGAACTGTGGGCCAAAAAAGCCTATGTAGGGGACCAGGAAGAAGGGGTGTGTGTGTGCCTGAATACTGAAACAGTTCAGTTATCGTATGTTTGGGCTACAGACCTTTATTTAAAAGTATGCCTAAACTCCCAAATGTTTTAAAATCTCTAAGTGGTGTACACTGTGTGCAATATACAAATATCCATTACAACAAAAATACAGCCTAAAAATCAATGCAGCAGAATAAAAACATAAAAGCATATAAAAGGATTCAAACAGATTCAGGCATCTAAAACAGGGTCCAATCTAATGGGTCAGGGAAAGTCTCGTCAAAAGGTTAAATTTTTACAAGGCACCTGAAGCAACTTTTGTATGTGTTATTAACGCAATCGTGCACGAAATGCTTTGAGACTGACATTTCCCCTTTTCTTTCTTTAATGGGTCTTACACAGTATACCATGGCTGGAGTCTTCCTCTTTCAGCATTTAAAGCTCAACAAAATATTAAACAGTGGGCGTAATAATAATAATAATAATAATAATAATAATAATAATAATAATAGACAATCAATTTTCTAAGCCACCTTCTGCCAAATTTGTAGAAACATGTTTTTGCAAAAATCACCACTCAAGCATGGGATGCCCTATTAATTCTGGCAGGATTAGGCTTGCTGAGGTTTTTTGGTATGGAAATCTACAAATCTGCCTCAAGCAGCGTGTTTAAATTTAAATTAGAGGGTGGAGGAAAAATTCGTTGAACACAGAACGTAACAAAAAACAGGGAGCAGGAACAGACTTATATGCCCCCAGCTTTCAAGGGAGTTAGACTGTTTTTGTTTTGTTCTTAAAGGAAAGGGATAAAGAAAAGAAAATCAGCCAGATCATGGGTACTGAATATTTTGTAAATCTGTTTCATTTCCTTCACATCTGCCTATTCTGAAAAATCTAGGGACAGTTTTGCAAACAATTAATTATATTTAACTGAACTGTTTATATTTTGAGTACTGCCATCTAGTCAAAAGGTTGTGCAGATAGTAGCTCAGTTTACATGGGATGTATCCAATACTGCCGCTCTGCTCATGCAAGAAGCTTCTGTGCATGCGATGGAACTTCCTCTTCTCTCTCCTCCACTAAATTGCACCCAAATTAGTTCAGGAGAGTTGGGGGACCTTCTGGAGTAGATATGGGGGCATGGGCGGGGAGGAGACGGAGTGGGAGTCCTGTTGTGCGAGTGGAAGTTCCCTCATGCAGCATGGGATACAACCCAATGTTTCCACTCCTCTAAACCACCACTTGGGAGGAGTGGGAACAAGTCTTGTGTTTGCACACTCCCTCCTCCTCTCATACAGTCAGTCAATTAGTTACTTCCTGGCTTGGCAAACCATTGTTTCCTGTTACAGTCAAATAGCCAAATTACAGCTTGCACTACCCCACCCTCAAAATCAAACCTAGAAAGGAGCTCCAAACCATGATTTGCAATTCCTGGACTCTAGACATAGGGGAGAGGAGGTGGGAGGGTGGAGTTACGCAAGCACAAGGCTTATTCCTCCTCAGAAACACTGTGTGTCAACTGATCCATTTTATGGTACATAATGAAGAACATACAATGGGGTGGGGGCAGGATCCTGCACATTTACAAAAAGAACCCAAACCCTCAAACTATGCTCTGTTCCTGCCACCTCAAACAGCAAATCAAGCCATCCAAGGAAAGTAGTCCAGGAACATTTCGCACTGTCTCAAACTTGAGGGGCAAAGCTGCTAACAAGCTGGCCAGTTGTGCTGGGATAAACGAAGAGATGTTGGCATAAAAGCAGGAAGTTAGTAGCCATTCAAATGCAACATGGTTAGTCAGCATCAGAGTGTGGTGCTGTACCTTCTCCTATGGGTGGGAGGCTTCCTTACAGCATCCCCCAGCACTCGCATTGAACTGAAAATGAATCATGGACAATGGTCAGTCAGCAATGACAAAGGCGTAATATGAACAAATGAGAAATCCCCCAGACTGGGACTGGCCGGGGAAGTACTGGGTTAAAAGAATGTGGAACAAGAAGTGGAGAAAGGCAACATGTAAATAAGGGCATGTTTTATAAAGCTCCAGCAACGTACCCAGAGAGCAGTAAGAAACTCACCTTGGGTCTAAATCAACAGACTCAAAAGGTGAAGCTTTTACAGGACCAGTTCCACTTGTGAACGAAGGTGCAGGAGAGTTGTACGCTTGGATACATCTACACCAGGCATAAGGAGCCTGAGGCCCAGGGGTCTCCAAGCCTCTCTGTCTGGCCCTTGGGCTCTCCCAGGCCCCCTCTCCTCCCCTTCCTAACCAAACTCGTTGTGCTTTGTGCTCTCTGCTTTTGCAGGTTGGAAAGTATCCTTGACCTCAGATAGTGCTTGCCTCAATGGAAGATAAGAGAGGGATACAGAAACTAGCAACAATTTGCATTTCTTGCTTTTGCTGTTTCAGCCTCTGGCCCTGCCCACTGGTTGGCATGTGGCCCCCAGGAGGCTGTCGCTAGGGGAATGTGGCCCTCGGGCAGATAGAGGTTTCCCATCCCTGTTCTACACACATGGGGAAAGCAGTATGTCAGGTTGAAGGTTCAGACTAACCTGGCATCCTATTTTTCTATGTACATGGAGGGTGTTCTCACCATCACATGATCATAGGAATGAGCCAGAAGGAGCACAATCTAGGGCAGATTTTGTTCTTTATTCTGCTTATTGTATTTACTGACAGTCTGTTGATTTAAACTGGGGTGGACCCAAGCAATCTTAATGGCCCCCAAAGCCACCCCAGAATTATATGCATGGATTTCAATATAATAATAATAATAATAATAATAATAATAATAATAATAATATATTTGGGGGGATAGATGCACAAACTTCAGTCTGCACTCACTTTTAAATTTAGCTTTGGCGTGCAGCCCATGGAGGGTTTGCAGTGAGGCAATATGGCTCTCAGATTAGAAAAAAATTACACCTCCCCTGCTTTAAATGCACAGCTATGATGCCAGATGACCCCCCCCCAACTACCTGCCGAATGCCTTCCTTAATCTTGAAGCCTGAAGTATTACCTGCTTTGTACCTGTAAGCTCATCAACCACTCCCCCCCACCCCCAGTGCATGAGGGTGAGTCGTAATGAGGCAATAATATGAGTCACAAGAATGACTTTGTCCTAAGAATCCTACTAGGATATAATCACACCGTTGATTGTACACAATCTGACTTTCTAGTATTCTGTCAATTTTCTACAGCTATCCCGTTTTTACTTAACATACACAAACAACCTGAAATTAAAGGTTTCCGGCTGCCCCATAGTAACAGACAACAGGGGGAAAAGTAAGTTTCACTTCAATCTGTAAAACCTAAAGTAACATCTGGGGTTGGATTTTATGGCAAAGAGCTAAGTAACTGATTGCTTCTCTTCATGCCATGAAACTTCCAGCCCTGTGTCCTGGACTGAACTGATGCAGTCCAGCAACACACTTCTACCAAGCAGACAAGCAGAGGAGGGATCAAGCAATCCGCTCCTCTTAGCAACCTGTTGCATTTCCATGTGGGTTGCCAAGAAGGGCTTTCCTTCCTTTGTAGCTAGGATACAGGAGCCACCTGCCCCCCCTCCAATCCATTCACTCACCTGTGTGAAACTTAAGACACAAGGCTGCTTTAATCCTTTCTGTGGCTTGCTGCGACCCAAGCGCACTCGTTCCAAAACCAAGGACTCGTGCTTGCACTTGTGGGGCGCATATTTTGACCTCTCAAATTGAAACAGAAAGTTTTGCTCTGGGACTGCACGAATACACGTGACACCTCATCGTTGGTGAGTGCAACTTTCGTTTTCTTGAGCACTTGGGAGAAAAGGGGGCAGAATCTGTGACCATCACCCTTGGAGAAGTTCAGAAAGCAGTGCAAAGTGTCTCTCTGATTTCTGAGCTCCTCCGTAGCTCAGTGCAGCAGGGAAGAGATAGCCACACATGCCTCCAGATTGTGGAAAGAGGCTTGTTCTATCATTCAGAGTGTGTCCGAAGTTTAGCCAGACGACAGACAAAACCCCTGGTCTGTGGCATGCGTAATTTTGTCTGGCTTCTAAAGCTGGCCCCAATTTTTGCCCCCATATTCTGCTATGTTGTATGTATTTATGCTAACAACATTTTTGTTGTTGTATGATAATCAATTTTGTCAGTAACAAAAATATCCAGCCAGTATTTCTACAAATGAGAGGTGGACATGCTACTGATTTGTCTCAATACAGCTTCATGGGTAGATAATTTCTAGCTGATGAACACTGTGTGTCAGCTAACTGAATTTACTCACTGGAATCCATAAAATTATATTTTATGGTCGAAAGTCAAAATAATGTTGTTGGGGTTTTTTTAAATGTACAAAGAAGGACTTACGGCGATTGATTGTCACAGAATTTCCCCCTTAGAACTCAAGCAATAAAAGACCGCGGTGCTTTTGCTGACCTTAAAACGCTTCTTACTGCAGCCTTGTATTTAAGAACTAGACAGGCAAGAAAGCGAGGAGGCTGGCAAGGGAGGGACCGATCCTTCCATTCCTCCTCCACTATCCCACTTGGTTTCTGTGCTTGCTGAAGAGGAAGTAAAGCATCTTCCCTCCACATCCAGCATGGCAGCTCCACAGGCCGGAGCGGGGAGACAGATCACCCCTGTGCCTCTTTCACTAGTTTGCTTGGTAGAAGGTTATTTTTAACACTGCTTTGAGAAATTGATTCTCATGCCGGCTGCAGAAAAAGGAGCTCCCATTCTTCCACATGGAAATATCAGCTACTGTTCCCTCAGCTGGTTAGTAAAAGAGTAATAATAATAATAATAATAAAGTGGGTTGTATTCAACTAAATCCTACTCAGAGTAAGACCGCTGGGTGGTATTCCATGGACTTGAGGTAGTCCTGTCTGGATCTAGTCTGAGTAAAAATTCACTGCATACTGCCCAAAAATTGCAGGCGAATAACTTTTATGGGCTTATTTGCAAATGCCTGCCTTACTGCCCTCTCCCACCCCAAAATAAAGATGACAAGGCTGAAGTTACCACAGCTATGGATCACTGGGTGCCCACATCCAAGAGGCTTTACTCACCTTCGATGGTTCATCTCGGCCTCGTTGCTGCCATTCTTCCCAGGACCCCAACTATGCCGGCGGAAAGGAGACAGTGGCCGCATGGAGCTCTTCAGGGCAGAGGCAGGAGGCGGCACTTCCGTGATGCTGTCCAGCTCTTCGTCCAGCTCCCCAGAGACGCCAGCTTCGCCATCTTGGCCCTCTGCGTTTGTTGCCATGTTGAAGCAGCTGCCATCCAGGGAGTACCGATCCTTGGGCCTGCTGGTGCCTAGCGCCTGAGGGAGGGAGATGTCACTCCCAAGGGATGAGTTCCTTTCTAGGGACAGCGTATCGTCGGCAGAGAAACTAGAACTTGTGCTATCGCCCGCCGACTGCTCCTCTTCGGGCTGCTGTGAAGCAGGGGTGGGAGCAAAGGAGGAGGACAATGACAAAACAAGCAGAAACTGTATTAATCTATTTAAAATTATTTGCAGATAATCAAGGCTGCAGGCAATATTTACACAGACCTACATGGCACAGTCAGGACGCGGGGTTAAACCACAGAGCCTAGGACTTGCCGATCAGAAGGTCAGCGGTTTGAATCCCCGTGATGGGGTGAGCTCCCGTTGCTCGGTCCCTGCTCCTGCCAACCTAGCAGTTCGAAAGCACGTCAAAGTGCAAGTAGATAAATAGGTACCGCTCTGGCAGGAAGGTAAACGGTGTTTCCGTGCGCTGCCCTGGTTCGCCAGAAGCGGCTTAGTCATGCTGGCCACATGACCCGGGAAGCTGTACGCCAGCTCCCTCAACCAATAAAGCGAGATGAGCGCCGCAACCCCAGAGTCGGCCACGACTGGACCAAATGGTCAGGGGTCCCTTTACCTTTACCTTTACATGGCACAGTAAGATAATGAGTTATTTGAAACACATCCACAGATATAAAAGTCTTAAAACTACAACCAAATCCATCAAACACCAGCTGAAGGTTGCTGAACGTCTTGCAGCCTTTACAGAAACAAAGAAGAGAGGACCTTCTTTTAGAAAAGCAGACCTGTTCCAAAAGTTGAAGCCCACTGCAGTAAAACCCCTGCTTCTCACAGCCACAGTGAAGAAGGTGAAGATGAACCCTGCTGGATCAGGTTGAAGGCCCATTTTGTCCAGCAGCCTGTTCTCACAGTGAGTAGCTAGCTAGATGCTTATGAGATGCTCACAGCAGAAGATGAGCACAGTGACATTCTCCTGGCCTAGGATTTCCAGCAACTGGAATGTAGACACATAATGCCTCTGGCATTGGAGGTGACATTAGAATTTTAAGAATTCTAGGTGCCGAAATCCCAAGGGAGCAGAAAAGAAGATTTATGTATGTGACCACGGCTGCGCAGATGTTATTGGCCCAGAGATGGAAAGAAGATAACGTCCCTACCAGAGAAGAATGGCAGATCAAGTTGATGGATTATGCTGAAATGGCTAAAATGACCAGGAATCAGAAATCAGGAAGACCAAAATTTTAATAAGGAATGGGGGAAATTTATAATTTATCTTAAAAACCATTTAAACAGTTAAAATCGTTAGTAGGATTGGAATATCACTTGTAGTTTAATGGTGAATTTTGGATACAATGGAGAGGTAAAAGGTTTGGATTATTATAAAATATGCAGGAGGAAATGATTAACAATAGAACCGACAAAGGGGAGGGAGGGAAGTCCAGAAAATTCTCTGGAATCTTGTTTTTATGTTGAATGTTGGATACGTGACTGTAAAATTTTAATCTGAAAACCAAATAAATAAATTTATATTTTAAAAAAGACCTTGAAGGTGGATCTCATCTCCTCCAGGAGCCCATATAAACCCCTAAGATAGCCTTCTCTACATCTCACAGGAAAGAATTCCATAGTTAAACTATGTGTTTTCCATGCTGGCGCTGTTCATATTGGAGGGCCACAGCTCAGTGGTAGAGCATCTGCTTGCATGCAGAAGGTACCAGATTCAATCCTCAGCATCAGGTAGAGCTGGGTGTATCCCTTTGGCTGAAACCTTGGGAGAGCAGCTGTCATTCAATGTACACAATACTGAGCTAGATGGACCTGTGGTGTAAGGGTCTTCCCTGACCACTGATAGGTTGTTGACCGGGGCTGATGGGAGCTGGAGTGCAAGAACATCTGGACAGGTGAAAGGTTTTGCATTCCTAGCCTACTATCCATTTGCAAGAGACTGTCAACAACACCTCAAGGAAAGCTGCAGACTAACAACAAACATGCCTAGATGCTCCTATTTCTCATTATAAAAGCAAATAAAAATAAAAATCTAGCTGCCCTGTGGGCCTCCAGATCTCATTCACATTAAAGATAAATGAATGTGTGTTAGAGGGCTGGAACCAATATTAGTTCTACTAAGAATAAAATATATGATTCTGTATCTTAGGTCCATTAACTACAAAGGGTCTACATTGGGTAGACATTCAATTTAAAGATTTTAAAGGTTTTTAAAGATTTCACAGCCAAATTCTGAGATTAGTATTTGGCAGATGCTGTTGGCTTTCTTTCTCTTTTTCCGAATCTTTTTTGAAGTATGACATGGGGTATACCGTATTTTTCGCACCATAGGGCGCACCGGACCATAGGGCGCACCCAGTTTTTTGGGGGGAAATAAAGGGGGGAAATTATTTCCCCCCAGGCGCGGGGCTGGGGCGGGGGAGGCCCGAGCTTCCCCCGACCCCAGCCCCCAAACAGGCAGCTCTCTGCAACCCGTGGGAGCGCTCCCGCTGCTTGCGGAGAGGTCCGCGAAGCCTGGGCGCGCTGAGCTCAGCGCGCGCAGGCTTCGGCATGCAGGCAAGTCTCCGCAAGCAGCGGGAGCCCAGCGCTGGGCTCCCGCTGCTTGCGGAGAGGTGTGCGAAGCCTGGAGAGCGTGAGGGGTCAGTGCGCACCGACCCCTCTCACTCTCCAGGCTTCAGCGAAAGCCTGCATTCGCACCATAGGACGCACACACATTTCCCCTTCATTTTTGGAGGGGAAAAAGTGCGTCCTATGGTGCGAAAAATACGGTAACTGTTCAGGATAGCTAGATTTTTAGTCATGTGTTTTAAAGATTATTATTTTTTGACCATGTAACTTCCATTATATTTTTAAACATCATGGTACTAATATTGCCCCTTTTTGTCTACAACTCCTGAAGGAGTTCTTAACTCTGAAACACTGAGCATCAGAGCTTCCTCCTGCTTGGTTAACCTCGGCCCCAAATTAAATGTAGAAAGATGAGGCAGCAGAGATAGCTAGGAAGGGTGATCTCACTGGGAACCAGCTCTCCCGGAGGGGATTTACAAAACCCTTGCCAGTTATTTACAAGACAACGTAAAGAAGAAGTGCCTCCCACATCCTCCTTACATAACTGTGACTTTGCACAGAGATGTTTGACAGAAATCCCCTTGAGCATATTTTATGCATAAACTGAACATAGATACCGCATGCAGCACAACACATCACATGGCGGGATGGATCACAAGCCTTACATGAATATTGTTGCAAGAGGTTGTTTTTGAATCCAGGAATTTTTCCATCGCGGTAAAATCAAGAAGATGCCACTTAGATTACAATTAGCATGGTGCAGTGATTACAGTGTTCACAAGGACCGAGGAGACCCAGGTTCAAATCCTGACTTGGCCAGGAGGCTCACTGGGTGACATTGGGCCAGTCAACTATTTCAACAAAACCTTGCCGGGTTCTTATGAGCATGAAATTGGGGAGGGGTGAGAGAAGAGCCACACATGCCACCTTTAATCTCAGTGGAGGAAAGATGGGAAACAAAATGTAATAAATAATAATACTGTATTGCATCCTCACCAACTCGTAGATTTGCTTCAAGGAACTGTAGTAAAAGGTAAAGTAAAGGACCCCTGACAGTTAAGTCCAGTCACAGATGACTCTGGGGTTGCAGCGCTCATCTCACTTTACAGGCCGAGGGAGCTGGCGTTTGTCCGCAGACAGTTTTTCCGGGTCATGTGGCCAGCATGACTGGCGCAACGGAACACCAAAACCAGACACTCTTCTGGCGCAACGGAACACCAAAACCAGAGCAGCGCACGGAAACCCAGTTTACCTTCCCGCCGGAGCGGTACCTATTTATCTACTTGCACTGGCATGCTTTCGAACTGCTAGGTTGGCAGAAGCTGGGATCGAACAACGGGAGCTCACCCCATTGCGGGGATTCAAACTGCCGACCTTCTGATCGGGAAGCCCAAGAGGCTCAGTAGTTTAGACCACAGCGCCACCCACGTCCCGAACTCCTGAAATGTCTTACTGCCTTTCTTTTTAAGAACACAAGAACAGCCTGCTAGGTCAAGACCAGTGGCCCATGTAGTCCAGCATCCTGTTCTCACGGTAGCCTACCAGATGCCTGTGGCAAGTCTGCAAGCTGGACATGAGCACAACAGCACTGCACACATGGCGGTTTCATGCAAGGATCATCTGCATTCAGATGAAGGGATGGCTGCAGTTGGGTTGGAGAGCTTGGAAGGTGGAGTTAAGTTCAGGAGGAGTTTGACAAATGCTAGAATTAGAGTATCATTGTGATCTACTGAGTGACCTTGCTTAGGAGGCACACACCCTCTCACCAGACACAGGTTGACAGGTGAACCTGAGAGCCAAGGGCATCCCTGGCGTCAAGGCCTAGAATCTGTTTTTAGGCCTCTGCCAAACTCCAGGACAGTCTGCAGGTGGGGTGAGGCAGCAGGTGTGCAGCAAGCATGGATCTCCACAGAGCAAGAACCAAAATACACGTCCGTTGTCAGGTTGAGAAAGAGACAAAGAGGGCCGAGGCAATCAGTGACCACAAAGTTGCTCAAACTGAGATGTTGGTTTGGATGCGAGGGCTTCGTAAGACCAGGGGGGTACCTGTTCCCTTTGGGTCAGCTGTTCATGTTTGGAGAAAGTATCGGCTGATCATATTCAAGCTAAAACTGCAGCCTGTTTTTATTTATTTATTTATATACTGCTTAATTGTAAGGGGGTGAAAAAAGACCTCTAAGCAGTTCACAATAAATGTTAGAATTATCAGTAAAAACAATTAAAACCAGTAATTAAAAAAATTATCTAAAAACAGTTGAAATCAGAACTAGACTTAAAGAGATATTAAAACGTAACAAGCTAGAGATTGCTCCTTATCCAGATAATTTGGTGGTCCCTCCTCAGTAGAAGACATGTGATGTAGGATCCTGGAAAAGGACCTTTTCAGTGGCAGTTCTTTATGTGTGGAACTCTCTAAAGAGATAAATCTGGCCCCATTTCTCTATAGTTTTAGGTGGTTAGTTAAGATACATCTTTTCCAGAAGGCATTTGGAGGAGGAGGAAGAGACCTGGTTGCTGCTGCCGCTATCAGAAACTTGTTTAATGACTCGTAGTGCTCTTGTGTTCGAATCTCACTTGTGGGTTTCCCAGAGGCATATGGGTGGCTATAGTGAGAGCATGATGCTGGACTAAGATGGGATACTGGCCTGATCCAGCAGGCTCTTCTTATTTTGCTGTTTTCAAAGCACTATGTCAATGTATGTATTTCATTTGCCTTTTATGAACCTCCCTGTGGCTTGTGCAAAGGATGGAATGTAAATAATCTGAAGAAGCATTTCATGCCTGGGGTGCAGTTCTCTCCCCGCTCTCCCCCAATTTAATACGCTTCACTCTTGGGTAGGCATTTCTTCAGGCACCTTCCAGAACAAAAGGCAGGCGCATTCTCACTGCAACTGTGAGATACTGCTTGCTATTACTGCTTCCAGGCACCCTCTCCTTGCTCAGTTGCAGTCAGGGCTCAGGGAAGCATATGACGCTTCCTGGGAATTCTCTTGGAATGGCTTCTGTCACATCCTTGGTTACCCTCTTGGGATGATGTCACTGTGCATCATCTACTTGCAGAGGGAGAAGGAATGAATGCCTCATACAGCTTCCCTGCTCTCACAGGCAATGATGAGAGGACAGCAATGTGGTTTTCCCGAACAAACTTTGGCCAGCTCCAATTGCAGCCCCAATAACAGAGCGTTTATGCACCCCGGCACACAATCTGAGGATCCACCGACAGAGGTAATGCAATAATAGGTGCTCTGCCAGCACTTCCAAGAACACTCTCATCTGGTTTCAATACTGCGCTCCAAATATTCTACTTATAAACAACTTCCTTTTCAATTCTTTGGTGCTACATTACACAGATGCACGTTAAAAAACAAAAGTCTCTCACAGAGAACAAGAAAGAATAGAAAACTGTTGCAGCAAAGCCAACTATTAGGAGATTTTTTTGTGTAGGGGGGGTGGAATCTGAATTGCATTAGTGGTAGTTGATTTCCCCCCTTTCCCCCACTCCCCTGGCCAGAAACCAAAGCCAGAATTTTGCAGATGAAAATTACAATTCATCTCTATGCCTCACCCTTTCCTCCGGCACTCCCTGGCTTGTGCACACAGCTGAAGGAGTTGGAAAGTCATTTCTCAACTCCATGTCCAGAACTTTTAGTCTGCTGGCCGGGCGCCCTGTGGCTCTTGTCAATGCTCATCAAAGCACCACCGAGCACAGCACCTATTTTGGCAAGGACCTGCACGCTTTATAGTTTCAACATAGCAAAGTTTCTTGCTTGTACAAAGGACTCTGAAAAGAAATTAGGTCTTGGAACGCTAAGGTCACTGGACGTTCAAGGGTCTGCTGGGGAAAGTGGGGCGGGGTGGAACAGAGGGAGGGAGGGAGGCTTTAGCAGAGACGACTGCAGGAAATGACATTAGCGAGCGTGATTCACTCAGATGGGAGAATGTCGCAATGTCTGCCCATAGCACTGAGTGATCATTCTGAGAAAGGATAATGAAGAATAAATCCATTGTGCATAAACAATGGGACCCAGCCCAGGCCACTGGACTGGTGTTGCTGAGTGCATATCATATCGCCAGATCTCCCCAAGATACTTACTACAGGGCATTTCACAGGGACTAATAATCTCTTAATAAACATCTGTGATAACAGGATGCTAGACTAGGTGGGCCATTGGCCTGATCCAGCAGGGCTCTTCTTGTGTTAAGAGTTTCATTTAGGTGCATCTATGCAGCACCAAAAAAGCAATAATCAAACATGACCAAGACTCAAGCCTTACCTTCCCGAAGTCCACCTCGTCCATCCCATCTCCTGAGAGAGGAAAGAGGTCAGATTCGCTCTCAGATCTTCTTTTAAGTACGTCTTGCGATGAGGTACAATCGCCACTTAGTCCATCTTCTAGGAAATTATCACTTTCTGGGGAGGGGGAAATGAAGGGGGTGGGGAATATATGGCAGTTTGAGATTGCTCACCAAACTAATGCAAGTGTCATTCAAGAGCTACAGTAGTATAAATATGAACCAAAATATGAATTACCATTGAACTATGGTTCTTCTCCCACATTCCAAGGAATAATAAAAAAGCTTAACATTTCTATAGCATCTTCTGAAGTTCAAAGTGCCTCACAATCAAGGGTTATTAAATCAAGAACTCTTGCAATAACCCTGTAAGGTAGGCCAATGTTCTTCCATGCTAAGAAAAAGAAGTAAATTCTGCACCCAGGAAATCCCATTTCTGCATTAATAAAAGCTAAAATTCTGACTGTGACATGTATTCCTTTCTGCAGATTTGCATGATTTCTCATATTCAGCCCATTTCTGAAAATTGTCATTCTGCATACTTTAGGCTGCAGTCCAATAGCTCTGAGGAAGATCAGGTCTTCCCTCTCTGAGGGGAACAGAGCTCTGACATCAGAGGAGGAAATCCAATGGCAGATCCTGCTTCCCTGCCACTACCTGATCCACTGATGTGCTGGCCCCAACCACCAAAGCTGGAGTTCAAACACTGGTGGGGCCCAAAAATGGGTGCACACAAGGCCATCTGGGTCCCAACATGCCCCTAAACTGGGGAGAAATACAGGCAAGTTCAGGAGTTCAGCCAAGTCTCTTCCTCTTATTTCCCTTCCATTGCTCCCATTGGGAAAGTTGTTTTTCCCCCTCTTTTTAAACAAAGCTGCAAAAATAACAGTTGAACCTTTCTCCGTCTTCACTTGAACCCAGCAATGCACTGAATATGCTGGTCAAGCTACCTTTAACCTCCCCCCCCCCTTTTTAAATGAAGTCTTTCACATGCAGGGGCTGAGAACAACGCATGCTACTAAAGCCAAACCCAATAGGAATCATATCCATCCGGACCTCCTGTTTCCACGGATTCTACCCACATCTTTCAAGTACAGTGGTACCTCTGGTGATGAACTTAATTCGTTCCTGAGGTCCATTCTTAACTTGAAACCGTTCTTAACCTGAGGTACTACTTCGGGTTAGCGGAGTCTGTAACCCGAAGTGTTTGTAACCCGGGGTGTTTGTAACCCAAGGTGCCACTGTATATCTTCCCAGCCATAAGGAATAGAAACTTTCCTTTGAAAAAGCAAAAACCTGAGCTTCCCAGAACTGCATATTCTTGTAGAATCATGGCATAGACACATCCCTGCCATTAAAGGACACCAGCATTACTGCTCCCATGTTGCAGACTGTGGCTGCAACACAGCTAGGCTTCCTTACACCTTGAAAATCAATTCTTTGGCTATGCAAAGAGTCAATTCACATTCTGGGATTCAGCAAACCCACCACCCTCAATGCAATAGGCCTATTTAACGCACCAGAAAAACTCTGCTGGGGGAGATGAGTGCCAGGAGTGGAAATACTGGCATTCCACAGAGGAGCTTCCACACCGCGGAGGGAATAGCTCTTTTATTTTATCAGGTGCAGTTTCTTTCCCTGCACCTTCTCCACTTTCAACCCAACCTTGGCAAGTCTGTGTTTCTTTTCCATTGTAAGTGGGAAAGGAAAAAGTTGGGATATGTATGTGTTGGGGGGGGGGAGAGAGAGAGACTGAGAGAGGCAGGGGCAGGAGAGAAGACGTAACAAACTGCAAGCCAGCATTCCCACCAAATCCAGCTGGCAATTTAACAGACCATGTCCCACCACATTCCAGACGGAAAAACAAGCCGGCTCCGCAAGAAAGCTCAGATGGAAAATTGAAAAGGACGTTCCAGGCTGGCCACTGGGCACATACCTTGTCCAAAGAAGTTAATCAACTCACGTGCTGAGAAAAGGTACAGCTAGGTCAGCAAGAGGGCAAGAGGAAGGTATGAAAGAAAGCACATCTGCCCCCCATAGTAGCAGTACTACTACTACTAGTAGTAGTAATATTAATAGTAGTAGTAGTAGTGGTGGTGGTAATAATAATAATGGGAACTGTAGCTTACCCCTCACACGAGCTACAATTTCCATCACTCTTAACAATCTACACTTCCCAGAATTTTGGGAGAGGGAGCAAAAGTGTTTCAGGTGTGATTTAAATGTGTATGCAGCCTCTCACCCCTCTTTCACTCTCAAAACGTTTGTCAAAATCACTTTACTATTCTAATACAGTCGTATCTTGGTTCTCGAACGTCTTGTGACTCAAACATTTTGGCTCCCTAACACCGCAAACCCAGAAGTGAGTTTTCTGGTTTGCAAACAGTTTTTGGAAGCAGAACGTCCGACACGGCTTACACGGCTTCTAATTGAGTGCAGGAAGCTCCTGCAGCCAATTGGAAGACGCACCTTGGTTTTCGAACGTTTGCGGAAGTTGAACGGACTTCCAGAACGGATTCTGTTCAAGAACCAAGGTACAACTGTAGTGGGATGATATTGACTCAGGTTTTGTCACCGTGTTTTTTTTAAGACATGTACAAAATGGGATGCATTTGACAATGGCCTGGGTCCAGGCACAATGCAAAACCATGGTTCCCTGCTATGAGAAGGATGGGGAATCTGAGGTCCTCCAGATGTTGTTGGACCACAACTTCCATCATTCCTGACCACTGGGCAATGATAGGAGCCCAGCAACATCTGTCAAGTCCCAGGCTCCTTGTGTGAACAAGCCATAGCAAATCTTAGCGTATCGCAGGTGGTGACAGGAAGCCTTTCCTTCCAATTTTAAAAGCACACCACAGTTCCCTGTTACATCCAAACATGGGAAAATGTGTTTTTTAAAAAATAAATAAATAAAAATTGAGCTACTGAGCAAACCAGGATCAGAAACAGTGGTGTTTGAGCCTAGCTTCTTCTCACTAACAAGAATTTAAACAACCACAGATTCCCAATTTAAGATGTAACAGGGAACTGTGGCTTGCTGAAAATGAGAAGCAACAGTTTCCCATCTACTTCTCTGGTGCATGGTTTGGTAGAGTGTTATTTGTGTAGTATAAAACCACGACTTCTCGTTACCTCCAAAATGGTCTACCGATTCCAAATTAATGTAAAAATATGAACATGTATTAAGGATGATTTTCAGAAGTGCATTGGAGATGGGGAATGGAACTATGGTACTGGATGGCATCTAGGGCTGTAATAACCCCATATACCTTTGTTGTGCTTTCCCTCCTCTAACTCTAGAACTCCTGCAAATGTGATTTTAAAAACACACACCCAGAGAATGAATTGTTGAAACCTCTTTATGATGGATGATGGAGTTAAAATAACATAATTACTGGCATGAAAGGATGTCTTTCATCAAATCTGGGCAAGTTAGACCCCAAATACCTTGGAAATGCAACTTGCTATTTCCTTACAATCGTTTAAAAATTGGGGGCCGAGTGACCACAATGCCCTTTTACTGAAAGCCTCAAACCATACACACATGCCAGGCTTGAAACACCAAAGGGCAATTAAAGCCTCTGCTATGGAAGAACAAAGGGAGTTATGAAGCAGCACAGGTTTCAAGGAAATTGCTTTTCTCCCACGAGAGTTAGTTATGACCAGAAATGTGTAGAAGGAATCAGAAACAAAGACGTGTTGAGAAATGGGTGTGGGGGGAAGAGAATAATTTGTCCTATGTGCGCTGAGAAGGTTGCTTTGGAAGTGTACCATGTCTTCTCAGGTAAAGCCTGGTTTATTGTGGGGGTTTTTAGAGGTCGGAGTGAACAATACAAACTGAAAGCTTTTGCAGATGACTTAGTTTTGACACTGCAGGAGCCAGAACCCAGTACAAAAAGAGTTCTTGAACTTATATCTGAGTTTGGTCGAGTGGCGGGGTTTAAACTGAATAAACAAAAAACTAAGGTTCTGACTAAGAATTTGACACCTACAGAAACAGAGGGATTTCAGAGAGAAACAGAATTAAATGTGGTTAAAAAAGTGAAATATCTAGGGATTAATTTGTATTCCAAAAATTTGAATTTATTTAAAGATAATTATGAGAAATGCTGGCTGGAAGTTAAAAAAGATTTAGAAATTTGGTCAAGATTGAAACTGTCCTTGTTGGGAAGAATTGCGGCTATAAAAATGAATGTATTGCCGAAAATGTTGTTTTTGTTTCAAACCTTGCAGATCGTGGACAGAGTGGAATGTTTCGGAAAGTGGCAGAAGGATATATCTAGGTTTGTCTGGCAGGGCAAAAAGCCCCGAATAAAGTTCAAAATACTAACTGACTCAAAAGAAAGAGGGGGGTTTGCCCTGCCGGACTTAAGGTTGTACTATGAAGCTGCAGCCTTCTGCTGGTTGAAAGACTGGTTTTTGCTGGAAAATACTGATGTCCTAGATCTGGAAGGTTTTGATAATGCTTTTGGTTGGCATGCATATCTATGGTATGACAAGGCTAAGGCTCATAAATTGTTCAAAAACCACATTGTCAGAAAAGCAATCTTTGCAGTCTGGATGAAGTATAAAGACTTACTAGAGTGCAAAACACCGAGGTGGTTATCACCGGTGGAGGCCAAGGCCCGAAAAAGACTCAATATGGAGGCCTACTGGCCGAAATATTGGGAATTAATAGAAAATATTGGAGACAATTGGAAGCTGCAGAGCCAGGATAAATTAAAAAATAAGGTGCGAGACTGGTTACATTATGCTCAAATTCAAGAGGTTTTTAAAATGGATAAAAAGGTGGGTTTCCAGGTGGAAAAATCGAAACTAGAGACAGAATTGTTAGAACCAAAGACTAAGACTTTATCGAGAATGTATAACTTGCTGCTTAAATGGAATACACAGGATGAGGTAGTTAAATCTGCCATGATAAAATGGGCACAGGATGTTGGACACAACATAATGTTTGAAGACTGGGAAAGGTTATGGAACACCGGAATGAAATTCACGGCATGTACGGCCTTGAAGGAAAACATTATGAAAATGGTATACCGGTGGTACATGACCCCAGTCAAGCTAGCTAAAATATATCACCTGTCTGACAACAAATGTTGGAAATGTAAGGAGGCAGAAGGGACATTTTTCCATCTCTGGTGGACCTGCCCAAAAGTGAAGGCCTTCTGGGAAATGATACATAATGAATTAAAAAAGGTATTTAGGTATACCTTTTCTAAGAAACCTGAGGCCTTCCTGCTGGGTATGGTGGACCAGAAAATGTCAAAGAAGGATAGAACTTTGTTTATGTATGCAACTACAGCAGCAAGAATACTCATCGCAAAGAACTGGAAGACACAAGATTTACCCACGCTGGAGGATTGGCAGACGCAGTTGATGGACTACATGGAAGTAGCTGAGCTGACTGGCAGAATCCGAGATTTGGATGAAGAAATAATCGAGGGAGACTGGAGAAAATTTAAAGACTATTTGCAAAAACATCACAAGCTGTATGAATCTTAAGTTAGTGCATGATTGAGAAATACTATGCTTTGGCAAATATGATTAAGTAAATGTTAAAATAAGTGATAAAAAAGAAAAGGAGACAATTTGAATTGAACATGTTATGTTTATTTTAAAAGTATTGAAATTAAGATACAATATATTGAATTTGGATGCATAACAAATTGAAAGTTACAATAAGGTACGAAACAAGGTAACAAATTGCTGACATTACTAAATTATAAAGAATGCAGTTCCGGAGGGTGTGGGGAAGTCCAAATAGGGAATGGTTTATATACTTTTTTTGGTTTGGTTTTTAATCTGTTTTTGATGTAAAAGAAAAGAAAAACTGTTTCTTGTATTTAATGCATTTGTGGTGTTTGGATTGTTTGAAGATTTGGAAAGGAACGCAATAAAAAATTTATAAAAAAAAAAAAAAATATTGTGGGGGTTTTTATCGCCTTTGCTTTAAGCGTGTGCCTGTGTGTTGCGCAATCTGAGCCCGCCTCCACCTCTCCTGATGGCTTGATAAACCCCTACCAATGAAAACACCATCACAACAAAGCTGGAAGGATGACAAGTTCCTAGCACACGTGCCACGGGCTTCCTGAGCACCGAGCGATTTAGGGCTTGCATCCGTCAACATCCATCACTTGCAAAGCTCACAGCAAAACGACACTGGGGACCTTTCTAATGCAGGGACTGGCAGAAGCTCCCTGGTCTAAAAAACGCAGCAAGAATGAGGTGGTTCAAGGCCAGGGAGGGGAGAACACATGGCTGTACCTCAAACAGCATTTGGGGAAACCTAGTGTCACTTTTATACATTTCCCACCGTATTTTAGTACAAGTCTTTACAAGGTGGCTCACAATCAAAGAACTCGCTTGTTTTCAAATACTCTTCTATGTTAAAAACTTCCTGCAACAGGAAACCAGCATCACAGGCAAAGGACTAAGCAAGAATCTCTACCAGTTCTCTGTCTGTAGAGAGGTATCCTCTCTCCTCCCCTTTAAAATAAATAAATAAAAGGAAGCATTTAAAAATATAAGGCCCTGGACAACCTGTGGCCCAATCACCTGAGAGACCGTCTCCCATCCAAGTTGGTTGGAATCTCAGGATCTCTTGGTTGTTCTACCAACTGCACAGCTACATCATGCAGTGACCAGGAGGTGGGTCTTTTCTGCTGTGATGCTCCACCTTCGGAATCACCCCCCGTTCCAAAAGTAAGACAAGCATCGTCCATGTCAAAGTTTCAGCACCTTTTAAAGATCCACCTGCTCGCCCGAGCATTTGCTGATGTGTTTTGTTATTACTACATCATCTTGCATGACATAAGAGGACATGAGTTTGCCCATTGGGGTGCAGCTTGTATTAAGACTGTGTCTTTCCACAAGGCAGGACTGTTCCGCATACAGAAAAGGTTCTACCATCTTGCCAACGAGGATAGCAGCTGGGAGGTTATGCAGCCACCAGAGGGCATATTTAATATAAACTCGGTTTGCAGGGAGATGATATGATGCTGGCTGCTTCTTCAACATTTATTCCGAGCTGCTTGCAGGGAGGTTACATGACGTTAAGTCAAGCAATTGTGATCCTTTGTGTTCTAACGCAATTTCCCATCACTTTCCTTACAGCAAAAAGCCCAATTTGGGGAGGGGGGAGTGAGTTTGTTGCGCACAAGCATTAAATCTCATTGCACAATTTGAGTGTTAGTGTAAGATGCATGGAGGGTCACAGGTTCATCACCCCTGGTCTACACTGACTGGCAGCAGTCAGCACTGCTGGGTTCCAGACAGGGACTTTCGTCCTCTCCAATTCTTCCTGGAGATGCCAAGGATTGAACCTAGGACCTTCTGCAAGCAAGGCATGTGCTCTACTGCTGAGCTACGGACCTTCCCAGGGCCTTTTAAAGTTTAGAACTTGCACTGAATCGTGCTTGGAAGCCAACCTTGCCCACTTTAGGCTAGCAAAGAGTTCCAGAGAACTCAAATGCTTTGTGCAGCCTCTCACCCAGAGAAGCCAGCTCAATAACAACAGCTTGCCTTTCTGATTTTATATCTCGAAGACTAAAGAATTCATCTTACCTGCAGAACGACATGGATGCTTTGGCTCCAACAGTGACGGATCCTGAGCAGTTTCAACAGGACTCCAGCTTTCACGGTTAATCTAACAGAAAGCAAGAGAGGTGAAAAATTAACGGGGATATTTTCAAGTTGCCTCTGTACCTCTGAGTTACTCATGCCAATGGCATCAGGCTAAACAGATCCAAAGTTCAGCAAATAAAACCCATTGGTGCCTGGATAAGAGGGAATAGTCTAAGGCTATGCAATCCTTAGAGTGCTGACTTCAAACACACAAACACAGAAACACATGTATAACTCCGCAAGTAACTGTTTGAAATTCCCTCTCTTTTTAAAGAAAGTGGTTATGTAAACTGCTTCTATCAAAATATATGATAGCTGGTTGGTTGGTTGGTTGGTTGGTTGGTTGTTGGTTGGTTTTTAAGAAAAACAATTTAAGACACAAATATAAGATGGGCTATCAACTCCCTGATTATCCATGTAAGAAAATATACAAATGGAATTTAGCAACAACACCACATGTAAATATTGATATAAGTTTCAATAAGATGCCATTATCAAGTAGTATTCGGTGCCCAAAAGACTTCAGATAATATATAAATTTACCCGACTTCATTTATACTGCAGACAGTGAACACAAGGACAGTGCAAGTTCTTATTACAGAAAAAGTTTGAAGGAAACTGCTTGACTATATAAAGTATATTGTTTGGGTTCTCCCTGCTAAGACTTAACCCCCTTCTTATGCACCCTGAAAGAAGGAGGCTAAAACTCAAAGCCTTCGAGTCAAACCTAGAGACTATGTGAAACTAGATCTCTTCTATGCTCTTGATCGCCAACCCCAGATGAAAGGTGGTGAACCTAAGAGAGATATCAGCAGACTCGGGAGAATCAAAGGCTTGATTGATTGATTGATTGATTGATTGATTGAGAAATGGAGGAGGGGAGAATGGGATAGCCAAATGAAGACATAGTGAGTGTTGGACTAGAATCAGAAGCCTTGGGTTCAAATCCTCACTCAGCCATGAAGCTTGCTGAGTGACCTCAGGCCAGCCACAATCTTAACCTAACCCAAAAGGTTGTTGTGAGGATAAAACACAGAGAGAAAAGAACTAGGTACACCACCTTGAGCTCCTTGGAGAAAAGCTGGAACATAAACGTAGCAGTAGTAGTAGGAATAAAAATAAATATACCGTATTTTTTGCTCTATAAGACTCACTTTTTCCCTCCTAAAAAGTAAGAGAGAATGTGTGTGCATCTTATGGAGCGAATGCAGGCTGCGCAGCTATCCCAGAAGCCAGAACAGCAAGAGGGATTGCTGCTTTCACTGCGCAGCGATCCCTCTTGCTGTTCTGGCTTCTGAGATTCAGAATATTCTTTTTCTTGTTTTCCTCCTCCAAAAACTAGGTGCGTCTTGTGGTCTGGTGCGTCTTATAGAGAGAAAAATACGGTAATTATAATCTCACTGGGAATGGAATATTGACCAGCTCTTGGGACAGGAAAGAAGTACAAAACCTGAACATGAGCACTTCATGCTGCAATGTTTTGTTGTGGGTCCCACTTAAAAAGGTAAAGGTAAAGGTACCCCTGCCCGTACGGGCCAGTCTTGCCAGACTCTAGGGTTGTGCGCCCATCTCACTCAAGAGGCCGGGGGCCAGCGCTGTCCGGAGACACTTCCGGGTCACGTGGCCAGTGTGACATCGCTGCTCTGGCGAGCCAGAGCCGCACACGGAAACGCCGTTTACCTTCCCACTAGTAAGCGGTCCCTATTTATCTACTTGCACCCAGGAGTGCTTTTGAACTGCTAGGTTGGCAGGCGCTGGGACCGAACAACGGGAGCGCACCCCGCCGCGGGGATTCGAACCGCCGACCTTTCGATCGGCAAGCCCTAGGTGCTGAGGCTTTTACCCACAGCGCCACCCGCATCCCTGTGGGTCCCACTTATAAACATGTAAACATATACAAACCTGTCTTGTAAAGAGTTGGGTGGTTGGTCCATAGAGCTCAGTACTGCCTACTATTACTCGTTACAGCTCTTCAAGGTTTGAAGCAAAGGTGTTTTCCATCCCTTGCTGTCAAAGAGTTCCTTTTTAAATTGGAGCTGACAGGAACTGAACTCAGGACTTCATGCTCCACCACTGAGCTATGGCCCCCTCTCCCAGGTCACCTCAGTACACTTCGCACATTTTTTGACGCTGGAAAACCTCCCTAAATACAAGTGTTTTTGCAAGATTCAGCCTTGCTGATATAGCTATAAAATTAAACTAGATTCACTGGGGGTGGGGGGAGATTATTTTTAGCATTCATTTCCTTTTAAAACCCTCGGGTCTGCATTTCCTTTAATCATGTTTTAATTTAGCCTCCAGCGTGCAAAGGACACACTTTATTTTCCTGTTTTGATAAAAAGAACTTCTGATCCCTGTACGATATCAAGCCCACGTCTGTATTTGGGGGGGAAAGAAAGAAAGCAAAGTAGTTCAGATGCTCTAAGAAGATTCCTAGTCATGAAGTTGATAAGTAACCCACCTCCCCAGAGTTTTGACTATTTTGGATAATATGGGGTGGCTAACCCCACCCCAACCCCCCCAAAAAAACCCCGCAGGGTGCCAAGCTGAGGGGGCACAAAATTGATAACAACAACAACAACAACAGTAATAATTTATTTATACCCTGCCCATATGGCTGGGTTTCCCCAGCCACTCTGGGCGGCTCCCAACAGAATATTAAAAACATGATAAAACATCAAACGTTAAAGACTTCCCTAAACAGGGTTGCCTTCAGATGTCTTCTAGAAGTCAGATAGTTGCTTATTCCTTGACATCTGTTGGGAGGGTGTTCCACAGGGCAGGTGTCACTACCGAGAAGGCCCTCTGCCTGGTTCCCTGTAACTTGGCTTCTCAAAGGCAGGGGGAACCGCCAGAAGGCCCTCGGAGCTGGACTTCAGTTGAGCGATGGGGTTGGAGACGCTCCTTCAGGTATACTGGGCCAAGGCTGTTGAGGGCTTTAAAGGTCAGCACCAACACTTTGAATTGTGCTCGGAAACGTACTGGGAGCCAATGTAGGTCTTTCAGGACCAGTGTTATGTGGTCTCAGCAGCTGCTCCCAGTCACCAGTCTAGCTGCCACATTCTGGATTAATTGTCATTTCCGGGTCACCTTCAAAGGTGGCCCCATCATTGGGATCTATTTGGGATACCATGAATGTTTAATTTTGGCCTTGCTCAGGGCACCATACTACCAAATACTACTGAACAGGTACACCATGCTCGCATCACACATGCAAGACACGGGGCATTCACGCAACACATCAGTGTGCCTCACAGAGTACACAAGTGACGTCAGCATGCCACAGGGCGTGACCACACCACAGGGCATACTAACATCACGTGGACACACTGTGGGGCATACTGATGTCATGAGTGCAGGCTATGGGGGTGTGCACGCCTGGCGTGCTGATGTCTTGCGGCTGCGGCCCCCTCAATCGCGGGGGCAAGGCAGTGCGTGTACTACCCAAGTCAACCCTGGAGGAAGACGAGAGAGAACGGGCTATCGCACAATTCCTGCATGAACAGAGCTGTCAACGTGCTTCTCTAATTAGCTGCTTCTTTCCAGGTGAATCAGAAATAAGTACTTCACCAAAGTGCATGAACACTTACTTAATATGGGAGGCAAACCTGCATGGTTGATTATAGCAAGGACAGAGTCGTGAAGGCCAGGTGGGAGAGAGAACCACCATTCATTTTCCCAGGTTGTTTTTCCTGGCGTTTCATATCTGGAGAACTTTAGAACCGGGGGGTAAATGCAGGTATCCAAATCTCTCTATCTGGCTCTTGGGACTCAACCTAAAGCCTCACACCCTCTCCACAAACCACACCTGTCTTGGGTCCTACTTTGTACTCTGCATGTTTTTGCCTGGCTGGAATGGATCCCTGAACTCTGATAATACTATAAATGTTAAATTTGCATGCACTGCTCCACCCACTTTTGCTTCTGGCTCCACCTACCACTTGGCCCTTAAAAAGTTTCCCAGAAGGGAATGCGGCCCTCACCCTGGACGACAACATCAACTCAATCTATTATTAACACGGGAAGTCACTGGCCAATGAGAGAAAGCTATCACAGCACTGAAAAGTCGCATTTACAAACACAACCTCCAAGAGCACCTTCACAATCACTCTTATTAACAGCATCTAGCAACAGCATCAGGCTAAACTAGCTGTCCCATCACTCAGCACATCACATCACACATTTAAAGTACTCAACTTCCCCAAAGATACTCTATGGCAAGATAAGATGGGATATGAATGAGGATCTCCTAACTCCTAACCATTTCATAGTACAGGGCAAAAGAACAGTGACTTCCAATTATAGCAGCCTTTCTCAACCTGTGGGTCCCCAGATGTTGTTGAACTACAACTCCCATCCCCCCTAGCTAGCAAGGCCAGAGCTCAGGGATGATGGGAGTTGTAGTCCAACAACATATGAGGACCCACAGGTTGAGAACAGCTGTATTATAGGAAAGTGTCAGAATCTGGTTCAATTCACCTGATGGCTTTCCACAAATCTGCCTTACAGCCAGATCTGTGTCATGCTTTGGTTCTGCAGGACTGAAAGGAAAGTGTGACGTTGGATATTAAGCAGAGAATCCAGATTGCTAATAATTTCACCTTCAGTTTTAAAAGGACTTCGCTTTCAGCCTCCAAACTGCAACAAGATGCTTCAAAGACTAAGGGCGCTATTGGCTAAAACCTAAAATGCCACAGAGGTGGCCAAATGAAATTTCCAGTGACTGGAGGCGTAACTTCAGCAATCTGTGTGACTCCTTTTCCCAATTCCATGATAGCAAACCAGAGTTATATCTAAGAGAATGGCACAACCAGTTCTGCAAAAATATTGGCAGAATTTCTGTATATTTGCTGAATTCATGCAGCTCGCAGAACTCTACCCTGTGGGATGCAAGATTCAAGTCACCTTAGCACACAGAGTTTTATTTTTCATTTTTAACTTCGCAAGTTTGAGCAGGACAGTTTGGGTTTCTGCTTTGTTTTCCTCCCTCAATGAAAACCAATTGAACTAGACACTTTTGAA